GGCACTGAATGGCTTTCTTGTTTGAACTAAGATGCTGCTCTTGTACAACCACTGTAAAGGGATGCTGATAGTTCAAGTTACAGTATAAAAGGTATACATCTTCAAGTGAAAAAATAGATTTATATGCATTTCACCCAAGACTTGAATTTTCCAAGTCGCTGCCTACAGCTAGTGATAAGAATTCCGTAGTTAATCGCTTATTTTGCAAGACAGAGAAGTTACTGGAATATAATTTCAAGTTAAAACCTAATTTAAAACAGACACAAACTGCACTTGAGTTAACTTGTCTGGACTTCTAACCCGATGTGAGAATTTTTATTTAAAAACAATCTGCATTTCTGAATTCCTGGAAAAGGAAATAAATCTGTTTGGTTTTTTTACTAAAACACAGAGTGATGGAAAAATCTTTCAACAAGCAAACATTTCTAAGACATGAATAAAACCAGTGTAAGTCTGTAAGAGTTGTTTTCTAGGCAAATATAAATATGGGAAAGATAAGTATGTCCCATCAATTACTTGCTCAAAGAAAACTTGGCGCCATAATCAGCCTACGTAAATTACTGGGACATGATGGGATGGCAGGAACACTGATTTCTAGTAGTCAATAGATCAGATTCTTGATGTTTACGTAGAACCAGATCATAGGTGCAGCTGGGAATAAATGATTTCCCATGTGTGCATATGCACACTGAATAAGGGAGGACAACAACAAGGTTTACTCTTTCTGTGCCATTGTTTTTATTTGTCTCCTTTCTTCAAAGTGTCAGTGTCTCTGAATAGACAGAAGTGTCTTTAAAAGTTAAGCTCAGTAACATTATGTTAGTGTCTGAAATATAGCGCAAGATATTGCACTTAATTTGTGTGGTAATGCTGGGGCTTACTGAACTTAGAAATTAGTTATTTTCTGTTTTCATGTGCCAAAAAATAGAATTTTATTAACAACTTTCTACCACAACTCCATGTGTTTTATTTCTAGCATTATATTTTGCAAATCATTATAAAATGTATGTAAGCAATAAAGCATAATAGGTGATGCCTTGAACTATTGTACCTTGCAATCCTAGTCCAACTCATGCTGGTCTCATTAATTTTCAGGGTGGGATCTCAACATTAGACACATGTTCTGGGCTTGCTTAATCTAAGTTGAATTCACACAGTGTCCAACTTCGTGTGACTTGCTCTCAGGGTAAACATCATCTAGTTTGCACAGCCTTCTGGAAACTAGGATTCTGCAGCCTAACTAGTTAGACTTCAAACTTATTAGTAACTCTGATGAAGTTTCTAATGCCACGTTCCAGTAAACACTGAATTTCACAGTGTTTCGGTAAGAGGAACTATTAGATTCTGTTGCCTACCTTGTATCTTAAACCACAGTATATCACCAAGGTGTTCTCATAAAAAACCAGAAGACTTTAGTTACACTGAGGTTAGTTCCTAGATGATCTTTATATGCAGCTGTTGACAAAAGAAGAGCTAGGAGTACTTTCACAACTTTTGCAATGGGAAAGAACTGACTATATGATATATGTCAGATTATTTGAGAAAGTATTGCATGTTTGTGCTACAAGTGCTATGGAGAAGTAGAAGATCACTTCCTTATTTCAAGTCATCCCTTGTGTGTGTCTAAAAGATATAACATCGTGTTTTCCTCTTTGCTACAGTTTTATGAAGGGTCATGTTATTGTATGCAATGACCTTAAAACCTTTGGGTCATTGCTTTCCAAAACATCATCTCATCCAGCTACATTTTGAATTTCCAGATTAATTAGTTTGTATTTTGGTTATGTTAAAAGGCTCTTTGCTAAGTTGAAATTATTATTGCATGTAATAACAATGTTTTTATCTCACTTTTCATTACCCTGTTGATCTCTATTGCTAAAGGTCTGCTTAATCATCTCCAATAATCAGGTGTTCTAGAAGAACCTGCTGGTTGTTGGAACAAAGGGAAGAGTGTGTTTATCTTGGAGTGTGACCCATTGGTGTAGCCCAATGATTGCTCATGATCCATTGATAACGGAGTACTGTTATAAGTAGTTGTAGATGTTCTGATACAATCAGTCCTTATTTAGAGACTATACATGATACAGATCTAAACAAAGTAAAAGCAAACAGGCATTTCCTTTTCTCTCCTTATTCCACATGAAGTCCATAACTTAATTTTCTTGTGAAATTTAGAGTGTTCTCTAGGGTTTGCATTGCTTCAAAGAACTGACTCTTCAGTTCCACTTCTGCAAGTGAGATTCGTTCTCCTCGCATCTTTTGGACAGTCTTTTTCCTCTAGCCATGTGTATTTTTACTGTCAACAATGGTCTTGTCCTTTCGTTCCTTTCCTTACTGATACCTGATACTGATACCAAGTTTTTCTTTTCTCTTTTGGGAGAAATTACAGTGTTCAGTCCCTTAATGATCATTTGCATGAATTGTTTCCCCTGAGCTTCCATTACTACATTTTCCTAAATTGTCCTCTGCTGCATAGCACTGTTCACACTCTGTAAATTGTGTAATTCTGAAACAGATGCAACACCAGCTCTGCTAGCAGTTATCTTGCTTATCACAAGATAAACAATATCACAATGGTATCACAAGGCATCACAATGATACCTTGGCTTGGTAAAACAGATTAATGGGGACCTGCATGGTACCTAAACACATACATAGGTTATTATAATGCAAAGATCAACTGATTTTAACTCTCCAAAAGAAATGTTAATAGAATGTCTGCTTGAGCATTAGTCCCTAAAAGAAATATTTTGCTTTGTTTTCAGTAGACTGCAAGGCATTTCTTTTAGATTGACTTCAAGTTTCTTGCAGCTGATCTTGAGGCTTTTGAAATACTCAAAATAAAAAGGAAAATATTTAAATAACTTAAGGAGGGGTAAGAGCAAATAATGTAGTATGAGGCTTATGAAACATTTAGGATTTCAAAACTAAAGTTTTGGAGTTTCTTAAAGTCTCTGAAGAGGAAGGGAGAAACTGTTGTGGCCATAGTTAATACAACAAAAGTTCTGACTTTAGTTGTTGATAAGGTGCCATATGTTAATCAGTTATTTAAAAGTAATGATTTTCTGAAGCTAAAGAAGGAATCGTTATCTCTGTGTCCATTGTTTACTAATTAATTAATCTTGTGTAAGTTTTTGTAATTAAAAAGCCATAAAAACAAACAGTAAATTGCCATGACCTTTTCTATATATTGATAAGAAACTAATCCCTGTCTAGATAAAGGGAAAAAGAACCTGTCTTCAAGTTCTGGGATAGGCGTATTCATCACCAGCTTACTGCATAAAATGTGGATGCTGCTTCCTCCTCTTGTGTTTTTGGACAAAACTGTCCGAATTTTTTTGTTGAACTCATTTAGTTGCATAGTGTTGCATGATTTTGTATTTTCTTTGATTATACTAAATGAATTGGAGACTTATGCAGAGCTTGGGCAGCTCTCTATTTTCACTGCATCATAGTACTTTTAAAATTTATTTACTTGGACTAAGTGCATCTCAGCATACGCAGCTCCAAGTTAATGGAGAACTTTGAATTTGAAAATGGTGTTGCCTGTTGATTACAAGCAATATTACAGATTTTTATGCTTAAATAAGAAAATTAATGGTTGGGTAAACTGACTGGTTTTTACCTTTTGACCTTTCTGTTATCATCCTTGACAAGATAAAAAGCTTAGCAGTCATGAAACAGGATAAAATTTCCAAATAGACTTTTCCAAAGTGAGGAATCTGGCTTTTGAAATTATTAATGCTATTTACTTAACAATTTTGAAATACATTGATCTGAAGATCAAATTTAGTACATGGGGAAAAAAATACACATTCAAAAACTATAAATAGATTATAACCTATGAATAGTAATGATTCAAGATAAGTGATTAAGAATGTGAAACATATGATAGAAGGTTCCAGTAGCTGGATAGTTTGTTAGGGTAAACTGGTTAATGAGGCATGAATATTTCATAGTTGAAAATGATTTAAAAAATGTTACTGTTGCATATTTTTACTTATTTCACCTTTGTGACCTTTTTACAAGTCATAGTTCTGTTTTGGTTTTATCTCTTAAATGCAGTTTTTTATCATAACATGAATTCATGTCCAATTCAATTTTGAATTCACCCTGTAAAAATAACTACATTTCCCAAAATACCAGTGAATTCAAAATTTCAAGTTTCAGCCAAGAGCTTTAATGAATTTAAAAACAATAGATAACATAGGATTCTTGAACATTGGACTCTCTTGGCTGACATTTGTATGAATTGTTTGCAATTTTGCAACATGCACAGTTTGCAAAATAGGTAACACCTGACTAAAATTCAAAATTTTACTGTTCAATTAAAAAAAAATATTAAACCAGATTGAGCTTGATAAATTGCTTCGCAGTATATTAATAATTGGATGAGCTCTTCCTGCCTGTCTTCTCCATTTTTGTCATACTTCCCTTCTCTCTTCCTCTTCAGGTAAGACTGACAATTTTTTCTGTAAGATACTTGGTTTAACATTGTCACTGAATTAGTTATTTAGTGCTTTGACTTGATTAAATTTGTAGTTACAAAGAAGATGGAGACTCCCTTTTTACAAGGAGTCACATGGTGAGGACAAGGGGTCATGGGTACAAGTTACTCCCAGGGAGATTCTGATTAGACACAAGAGGAAATTTTTTCACAGTGAGAACAGTCAACCATTGGAATAATCTCCTCAGGGAAGTGGTTGACTCCGCTACGGTGGACACTTTTAAGACTCAGCTGGACAGAGTGTTGTGTCATCTTGTCTGGACTGTGCTCATGCTTAGCAAGGTTGGACCAGATGATCCTTGAGGTCCCTTCCAACCTGGTATTCTACGATTCTATGAAATGTTATTCTCTGAGGAGGCAGGGATTTTTTGCCAATCTTATTTAATCTGGTTATAGCTATTGTACGTACATTTCTAGAATTACAACATTTCCCTCAGCTAAATGAACAATGCAAATAATTTCTTTTCCTTTTTTTTTTTTTCTCTTCTTGAAGCCGATCAACAACTTATCCTTACACAGAAACCCAGATGTACAGCCAAAACACTGGGGGAAATTACTTTGATACTCAAGGAAGTTCTGCACAGGTGACAACAGTGGTCTCGTCTCATAGCATGGTGGGCACTGGAGGGATTCAGATGGGTGTCACAGGAGGACAACTCATTAGCAGCTCAGGAGGGACCTATCTGATTGGCAATTCAATGGAAAATTCTGGTCATTCAGTGACTCATACAACGCGGGCCTCCCCAGCAACAGTAAGTATTTCAGACTGATGCAAAATCTTTGAGACTAGTTTCTTAGTCACTCAGATGTTCTTGCAGACTGACACAGTTTTTGTGACAGAATGTATAGCAATACTATGCTGTTAGAATAAGTACTACATAGTACTTTTTGTAAAATAAGTAATAAATATATATATATATATATATAAGATACAGAAGTAAGAATACTGTGAAAACTTAAACATGGAGGCAGACCTTCCCTTGACAGCTTGCAAATATTTACATTTCATAGGCTAAGTTAAATAGTGGATGCTTTGGGAATGATCACATAACAGTTTGTCTGAGCTGAATATTTGTCAGGTTGGAAGCTAAAACAGCCTCCTTTATAATTTTGTATTTTTTTTGAAAACATAAGAAAAACAGTGTTGTTGAGTATAACTATGTTAGATGTAAATGTTAAATAATGTAAGTTACAGACAGGTATCTGTAACTTCCCTGCATTTGTTCAGTTTGTTGGCTCGATATTAGCGTAGGTTTGGTAGCTTATTTCTAATATTATTTCTAAATATTTCCAGTTGTTCAAAATACTGAGATACTACCTTTTAACACTTTGTTCTTACTTATCTATGGTATGTCTCCAAAATCTGTTCCAGATTAAAAGCTCATTGTGGAAGTATCTTACAATGCTATGGGAAGATGCATTCTGTTACAACTGTGGTAGATAATATTGTGGACACTTAAACATAAACACAGAACTTTCCCTTAATAGCTTACTCAATCAGCCCTTATTTCAATTAGGAAAATGGGTTTATACCTAGTCCAGCTTTGCTGCATAGTCCTAATGAATACTTTTACTTAATTCTTCTGGGTATTCTGGTCTGGATGTGGAGATTTATGAAACATAGAGTAGGAAGAGTTGAAAAATATAGTGAAGGAGATAAAGCATCATTAATAATACAGATTCATCAGTCCTCAAAAGGGCAATGAAATTAGGGGACTTTATTTTTAGGAACCAATGTAATAAGTAAAAATCTAATATTCTTCTACTTGGAATTATGGTGAACGTTTACAATAGCAGTGGACAATTTAGATGATCTGATAAAATCTTTATTTTGATTCTTAAGGTGGTTGGTATGGATAAATACAAATTTTTTGCACAATGGAAAAAATTATTATTTAATCCAAAAACTGTATGGTATTCTGAGAATAAAAATTGTAGAGAGTCATATTTCGTGAATAGTATAAATATCAGTAACATAGTGGGAGCTTTCAGCTAGCAACAGATAATTTTATATTTGAGTTACAAAATAAAAACCAGTGTATATTAACATTTGCCTGTATTTTATATTATTTTAATAGAAAAGTAGAGTTTCTGAAAAAAGCAGCATTTCTCTTTCAGATTCATTTCATTACAATCAAGACTTTAACTTGACTGTTTTCTTTTTTCCTTTAAAGTACTCTCTAATTTTACGTATTTGGAAGATATTTCATGGAATTTTTCACCTGACATTATGATTGCCAAGCACAGGCAAAACAAATTGTTTTCTATAGGCATAAGTAAGGAGTAGGTCTTCTAGATGGAATGAAATTTGAAAAGTTATGTTTCTTTAAATGCTTAAATGACAATGATATTCCTATGTTTCCTTAGTTGTTTTAAATTGTTCTACAGTTGAATACAAATATTGCCTCTTTTAGAGATCATGCTAGTTTTATCCTTAATCAAATAAAAATAAATGTATTTTTGTGTTTTGCATATCATGCTATAAGTTTTGTTTTATTCACTGACAACAGGATTCAGTCAGTGGAAATGCTTAACTGACTGTGAAATCAAGTGAGGCTTAAACGCATCCAGTAAACACAAATGAAGAGTAGTAGACTTACTTTGAAGTTGGATATCCTAGAATTATTTGAATTATATCAAAACTCCATGCTATATTTTGCAAATTAGGAACTATTTTGATTTTTTTCCCAAAATTAGAAGTAAAATTTGCCAAAATTTAACAAAATCTAAGGTTCGTACCTCTAGCAACATCTTTCTTTTGCTTCAGGTGTCGATAAAACAGCCTGTTTTAGTTGCTCTAAGTAACTTCTGTGCTGCTGTATAAACTTGCCTTTAAGAATAGAAAAAAATACTGCTAATTAAATTACAATTATTAAATTGCATTTTTAACACTAAAATAGTTTCCTCTCTTTTTTAAGGTGCTATTTATTTTGTATAGTATAGTTCTGTAAGTATGAGACATCAGAATATATTAGAAGTACATTTCTTGCTGAGGAAGTGGGACACAACATGATCTTAGATTTTATAATTTTAGGCTCTTGGTGTGTATGGTTCAACTGAAACATTGAAGAGCAAATTGAAACAAAAAGGTTCAGCTTAAACTATAATTTTAAAGCACCAAGTCTATTTTAATTTTAATAGAGGGCATAATTAAACTATGCAAAATAGAGCAATGTAATATTTTATTTGGATTGCACCTTAGATAGGTAGAGCTTGTTTCACTTGTGATCCTCATTTGATCTTTACCATCATAACTTTTTTTCATTCTTGTATAGAGAATTTATCGGAGTTGTCAAAATAACATGTATCCAGGCTGGTTTGCTAGTGTAATACTTAGCAAATATTTCCAAATTTTTAATTAGTTTGGAGAATTTTCATATGGAGACAAAGGATATGGAAATTAATAAGAATTTACTTACTAACACATGTAGTCATCACAATGTGGTCATCTCTTTACTTTTACCATAGAGGTACTAGTTCTGTTTAGTCTTTTCAACTGATAACTTCATTTGTTTTGTTGTTATTCACCCTCACTGATCAAATCATTACCTTCTGTAACGAGCAAATTAATTGTATTATTGATGTTATCTATTTCTGATACATCTAGCTTAAGTTAAAACAAACGAACAAACAAAACAGTTTCAGGTTAAAATTCAAATGTCTAAAATAAGTTCATTTTATTAACTGTGTCTTAGATAAATGAAACTTAAAAATCTAATTTACATTTCACCGGGTATGCTATTTGGTTTATATAGAATTCAATAAAAGAGACTCAGAGACTTTTTACTTTAAGTCTATCTTCACTTTATTTTCTTTATGGTTTAAGGTGATTCTGAGTTCTGCTTTGGGTTTAATAAAGAACTAATATTTTGTTTGTAACATTCCATTCATTTTAATTTCTGTCAAACATTCATACAAGAAAGCTGTCCTGCTTAAGCTATAGCAGGCAATAGCAGTGTTCTTATAGCCAAAATATTAAGAATTGTACATTATCAAAACTATTGCAGCACATATACAGTAGTGGTGTATGTTAGTATTCATGAAGAACGTTTCTTAGCATTTTCTTTACTCATTTCATTTCCATTGATTTAATTGCTTCTTCCCATTATGTCCTATTAAACTACTTCTCTACCTACTAAAAAGGATTTTTTCATTAAAACAGAAAGGCATTCAGATTATAAGACCTTCTATATAAGACATTGGGCAGATAAACAGCTTTCCAAAGTGACCATTTTCATGTGAATATATGTGGATTGGTCAAAAATAAATTGTGATTACATTGAACAAGAAGTGATTTACCCTAGCTGGATGTGTACTTGAACTGAATTTGCATGTTGAAACCTGTATGAAAGAGTTGTCTGTTTGGTTTATTGGCAGCTATCATTAAAGAGAAGGGGCAGCTGTATTTAAGAGACTAACTAATTTTTTTCTAACTAATTAGAAAATTGGATTGCCATGTTAATAATGAAATCTAAATCACCTTCCTGTTTTTTTTTTTTTCCCATATGTAAATGTCTAAGGACTGTTCTTGTGATAAAACAGGATGATATAATCAACATATTGCATAATACCACAAGGTTAAAAAATTCATATAGTTTCTAGTAACAAATGTGTTGTTATGCTTGTCAGCCAGTGAGAGTCGCCCATCTATTAGTCTTGTTTTCTAACAAGCTTTATGACTGATCTGCAACTACAGTTGTCATTCATCAGTCATCATCAACCATAGGAGGTTTCCACTCATGCTGTTGCAGAAATTTATCCTATTTCAGTGCAAATCTAAATATGCATGAAAATAAAAGCAAAATTAATATGAATATAATGTATCACCACAAATTATTATTTCTGGTAGTAAGCAGAGTGTGCAAAATTTGCTCTTAACTTTAAAGGAGCTAAAATATATATAACCTAAAATATATTGTATAACCTAAAATATATTGTAATTAATGGAGGGAGAAGAACAACAACAAGAAGTGAGAAGGCCCAGTGTAAATATCATATCCTGATAATATAATTTTAGTGCAAGTAGTATAATTATTTTAAGAACAAAAAGTAACAGATGTTTAAATGGTCCATTAAAGGCAGAGGGGTTATCTTTTGGAAAATAGTTTGAGATGAGATTTTATTTATTAATCTCCTTCTTGGTAGAGGAACTTTTTCCTCCTCCATTCCCCAACTTTTCTGGTAATTTTCTTTCAGCTGGATCCACCTTAGCATAAAACAAACCATTTCTGATCAAATCAAAGATGCACAGATGTTTATGCTACAAAGGATTATTAGATCATTTGGTCTGACAAGACATTTACTTATGACTTCTTCAGCTGAGGACAGTTGAAGATCTTTTGTGAAAAAAGGCATCCATTTCCAGATACTAGAAAGCAGATAATCAGATAATATTTTTTTTTTCTTTTAAATGAGTCATAAGCATGGTTAATCACTACTGCTGCTAAAAAAGCATTTATGTGGTATGAATTAACTGGAGGGGTGGGAAGTTTAGAGGGTTAGTGGATCTTGTGCTTTTATAAACCTCTGCCTCCAAGACTTTTCCTCCTGCTTTGGTTTCTTCTTCAGAGCTGTGGAGCATCATGGCTTCTCCCTCTCTCTTCCAGAGGTTTCAGTCTAGCAATGTGGTGAAAATAACTTATGTCTTTCTCTGCCCCTTTGAGTGCCTTGCTGCTCCACTGGAATGTCTTGAGTTGAGACTGTGCCCTTTTCACAAGACAAGGAGTGTGGGGAAAAGGGAGAATGACCCTGC